CCAACCCAATTTGCATTAGTAAGTAGTAACCCTAGAACTAGAAGGACTACTACCCATAAATAGATTTCAGATCTATGAATCTGCAAACTGCGATTCCTCCTCCTCTCCAGACTCCAGTATTCTCTCCTCTGCGTAGACTGCACTGTAGCTCACTAGTTTTGTTTCTGTTCTTCAATCGGTCAATTCCCTTCAACCTATCATTCTCAACAACCTTCGAAAGGTCGTGCCCATAGCTCTGTTCGTATTCTTCAATTTGATATAAAGAATTTTTTCTAAAATTTTGTTAACTTGGGATACTTGTTTTCGTTTCAGAAAGTTATTTTTTGAACTTGAAATTATTGATCAAGCTTAGTTGAAGTTGTTGCTGCAGAGTTTGCCTTACTAGATTGAATGGATGTGAACACATGTGCCACTTACTAGACTCTTTTATACCCATTTTCTTAATGAACTTATTGCTGGACATCTATAGCAGTAGTTTATGCATTTTTTTTCTATGAACTTTGTTGAATCTAGACCTATGTAACAGTTGCAATTTATGTCCCTTTTTTTATGAACCTTTTGCTGGACTTATATGGCATTCTTTATGAACTTGTTGCTCACTTGCTAGACATGTTTATATTAGCTGTGTATATTTAGTGCTTGTTTGTCTTGTTTCAAATTTTTACTTTATATGATTATTTGAGCTAATTTTATTTAATGAATGTGAAAACTAGTGGAGTCTAAGTAGACCCATATTGAACTTAATTTTGATTAACAAGTAGCAAAAATTTTGATTAACAAGCATTAGAGCGGGTGATAGTTTTATTTGATAAGGACTTCGAATACTTGTAGGGATCTATCATTTCTCGCGGGTATGGGGACGAAGGCTATTTTTGATCCTTCACCAAAAATTCCCGTGGGAATCCCCATACTCGTCATTGGTGGGGATGGGGATAGGGATGGGGATGGAGAGGGGGTCCCTGCCCTCGTAGGGACTTGTTGCCATCCCTAGCTTAAATGCCTTTGAAGAGATTTAAACCTTAATTATAACCAAAATTCAATTATTACTAACTTCTTTAACTCTATGTTGATTAAAACAATTTAAGAGGTGTTTGTTTTGGCGTTCCATGTACAGTTTTCAATTGTTGATTCTAATTGAATAAATTAAATATTTTAAATTATAAAAACAACATTTATCAATTGTCAGATATTAATTATCAATTGCATCTAAACAACTAATCCAAACATTCTCT